TTTTCGTTTTCAGGTTGATGAGTAATAAATAGGAAGTGACGTTACTGATGAGGAAAGAATGATTTTATGGCAAAGTAAGAATGTTAACAAGATCGCGAAGAGCTTTCTGATAAAGGAACACGGTAAAAGGTTTACTAAGTCTCCAATTATTCAGTTTGACTCGATTTCCTGCAAAATAAATAAGTGATGAGCAGAATACAGATAGCATTCTAAATAAAGGATGATATTATTATTCTGTGCTTGAAGAGAAGTCGAAAATATAAGAAAATCATTGTCAAGAGTTGTATTTCGCCGTTTTCTTAACATCGAAATTTAACCATACTTTCAAGAATTACACTTTTGAGTAGATAAATTTCATCCTATAACGTGACCCTTGCTAGGCCGTGAGTGCCTTCTAAACTCGATAAAGACTAACTCTTTGGCTAAAAGGCTAAATCCAATTAAGGCAAAATCTATCCTGTGTCTCAATTCACTACGATTAAACTAATTATCAGTTCCTTCCAACATCCTAGTTCTTATCAATCTCAGCCCTGATATTTGCGACTAAACAATGATAACTGAAGAGATCTTAGTTCATTCACGCAGTGAGGTCTGCGACAATAAAAATATCTATTCGTATTTAAGAAAAAGATGTAAGCAAACCAATTCATTCAAACAAGGGCATTCAGTCAAAATGTCCTTTGTCACATATACCTTTGATGTTTTAAACTCGCCTGAAATTTAATACGTCTCACGGTGTTGCTAGACAAATTGTCTAGCTGAATCGTAACAGGAATAATTTCTCCATGATAAAATATTTCCTTGGGCAGTTGTGCTTCTATTTTTAGTTCGCCTGAATGCAGATGGAAATTCTTGCGCATAGCTTTGGTGTAAGGTTGAGTTGTAGGACCTGGAATAGCGATGGTGAGGCGACGAATAGTGACTATAACGCTGTTGTGTTTATGCGCAGTGGCTTCGGGAGCTTCACCTACAAATACCTAAAATGGAAAAGTTTTTAAATTAAATAAGCTGAGTTGACTAGAACCAAAGTGTTAATTTGGATAACGAAATGATGGTTTCCATGTGTCGCCCATTGTTTTTGTGCCTGACAGTTAATCTGTTTGGGTAAAAGCAAGATTATGGCACTATTATGCCGTTGGCTTTCATGGTAACATTATTTATATAGGCCTTTTATAACCGGATCCGAATTATCTATATAATTTTAAAGAAAGTCGAAACCCAATTATGTGTAATGAATAATAACAAGTTGTCATCCGATATTAGCGTCCGAATGCAAATGGATCTCATAAGGCTATACTCTTCTAGAGGAAAAGAGCTCCTATCTGGATTCCTGTTACAAGTAAGGATATACATTCATATGCCACAATCATATTCACCATCACACCTGCCGTTACTCAAAACTATTTGCAGTACTATCGCCTTATTATTTTCTCACAGTTTGCTATGAATCGAGCTTATATGTGGGTGAATTAAACCTCGCTTGCGTAGAAAAATTATATCCGCCATAAGGTAATTTCCTTCCTGGACGTTTATATACTTGGCAATGTTTTTGTTCAAACTTTATGGATCCTAATCTAAGATGACTACTCACCTTCACTATCCAATATTTCTTATGAATCTTGTTTAAAAGTAGGTTTTCGAGACTACTAATGGATCATATATATATATATATATGATGTGTATTCACCCCATTTTATTTAAGGCGATGAAGGGACTGGTAGTTTAATTTTCCCTCAATGCTATGAGCAGACCTTACGTTTTCGTTGGACATTTAGGCCTGACCTTTCTTAAAATTCACATCTACCCTGTGACCTAAGGGCACTGGTGGTAATGTGGTCGAATGGCTAACGTGTCAAGCTCCCATTCTGCACTTTCACGGTTCGATTCCCGCTGAGGGTGTTGATAAGACCGATGCGAGGTCGAAACTGCAGTTCACCCTGGATAAGAATGACTTTAGGGAAAACAAGGCAA